AATTCTGCTCCCTATAGAAATGAACATTTCTCCTTTAATATTTCAAAAATTCTGTTTTAAAAAATCAAGAGCCGGGCCTGGCGCAGCGGCATAGTGGCTAAAGTCCTTGCCTTGAATGCACCGGGATCCTGTAGGGGTGCCGGTTCTAATCCTGGCAGCTCCACTTCCTGTCCAGCTTCCTGCTTGTGGCCTGGGAAAGCAGTTGAGGACAGCCTAAAGCTTTGGGACCTTGAACGCACATGGGAGACCGGGAGGAGCTCCTGGCTCCTGACTTCAGATCGGCACAGTACTGGCTGTTGCGGTCACTTGGGGAGTGAACCAGCGGACGGAAGATCTTCCTCTCTGTCTCTCCTCCTCCCTATATATATCTGACTCTGCAATAAAAACAAATTAAAAAATTAAGAGTCTGTCTTACAAAAGATTAAGATGAGCTGACTTCTGTTTACTTGAATACAGAGGGGCAGCAATTTGAGCACAGAAGCCCTCAATCCAGAAACAACATCTCCAAACACGAGCCATATGAAATCACCTCTCCACCCCTGCCCTGGCGGGAACCCATCTACGTGGAGACAGGTTCCAAATGTGCGAGCCCAGCGGCCAAAGAAAGATGAAGGGAAGAGCAAACAGCCATGCAAGAAGGCCTGTATGTCTCCACGCAAGGAAATGAGACGCCTTCTGAGCACGCCCCTCACCAGCCTGCCCTGGCAGCAGGGCGCCAGTCACCTCCCAGTGCCAAGAAGGCCAAAAAGCAATGCAAGCTCGCACTGCCCAATCCCTGTGTCCGTGTTGAAGGGAGTAGGAACAGTCAAACCAGGCGGGCAGAACTTCTACCACATTCCAGATGGAACCCAGAGACTGGGAAATTCTAAAGATTTGAGATCTACACATATTTTTTTGTTGTCTTTTGAAACTGGACTCAAGGCGTAGCTCCTCTAATTGTCACTGTGGATAACAAATCATATAGACAGACTTGACTAAGATTAAGACCCAAGCACTTAAAGCTTTTCGCCCATCTCAGAATCTTCACTGTTCCCCCTAGGTTCCACCTCAAACACCCGTGCAGCTCCCTCCTATTCTATCCCTGGATTCTCATCCATCCCAGAGTTGGAAAAACACTGTGTATTTATGACTTTACAATTCGTAAATTTCCAGCCCACAACTGTATTTAGCCCAGGGCCATATTCCAGTCACATACTGAGTCTCTCCATCTGGCTGTTTTCTAGACAGAGTAATCTTTTAGAAAAATACAGTGTTTGGGGCCCGGCGCGGTGGCGCAAGTGGTTAAAGGTCCTCGCCTTGCACGCCCGGGATCCCATATGGGCGCCGGTTCTAATCCCAGCAGCCCCGCTTCCCTTCCAGCTCCCTGCCTGTGGCCTGGGAAAGATGTCGAGGACGGCCCAAGGCTTTGGGAACCTGCACCCGCGTGGGAGACCCGGAAGAGGCTCCTGGCTTCGGATCGGCATAGTATCGGCCCGTTGCGCTCACTTGGGGAGTGAATCATCGGACGGAAGATCTTCCTCTCTGTCTCTCCTCTCTGTATATCCGCCTTTCCAATGAAAAAAATAATAAAAATAAATCTTTAAAAAAAAAAAAAAGAAAAATACAGTGTTTGGGGGTGGGAGGAATGAAGAGAGGCAGAGACACGCTTCCCCTGTCGGTTCACTACCCAGACTGGGCCGGGCTAAAGCCAGGAGCCTGAAACGCCATGTGAGTCTTCCAGATGAGTAGCAAGGGACTAGGCGCTTGAGTTACCACCTGCTGCCCTCCAGGCTGGGCCGAGGCAGAGGAGCTGGAGCCGGCACTCTGATACGGAATAAGGGACTGGGAATCCACTCGCCTACGATTCTTAACAGTTTATGACTTGGAATCTCCTCCTGGCTTTCTGAATCTGTTCATCCTCTCACACTTCCGATCTCACTGTAGTGGCGTCCAGTTTTCCATGCTGACCTCATTCGAGTCACCTGCTCTGTTACTTATCCTTCAGGCCACGGCCACCGAGCTCTTTGGGTTTTACCGCTAACCAAACTCTCACTTCCATGTTCTTCTCAGTTCTCACCGTGATTCATCTAAATGAAAAGTCCTTCAAATTCCCCTCTTCCCTCTTTCCAGGATACTCCTTAGTTTTTAAGAATCAGCCCAAAGAATGAGTGTAACAATGTTCACTGACTCTTAAATATCTAAAATATAAAGACAAAACTCTTTCCCGCAGTTCAGCCTCATTTTTCATGATTTTTTCCCACCAGACTCCTTTCCTTCTCCCCCATTACGTAACACCACCCATGAACTCTCCTGCCACACATGGTGGATACTTTTGGCTCTTTGCTGTTCCTTCTATATGTGGCATCTTTAACTCCCTTCTTTCAAAAGGTAAATTCTTATCCTTTCTGGAAGACCAAGCTTAAATAGTAACAGCTCCATGAAACTCTCCTTACCTTCACACAGAAGTAATTCCCTCTCGTGGGTTTTCACCTCTGCTGAAATCCTGTTCCTACTGTACAATGATTTCATATACAGGCACAGAACAGGTACTATATAAATGTCTGGTGAGTGAAAAAAGTAATTTCCAATGAAATCAGACTTCCTTTCTTCTTTATGTGTTTAAGATGGAAGAATTACACCATAGCATGTCTTAGTATTCCTAAATGAGATAATGAAAAATCATATCTTGGGAAACAGGCGTATAGTTGGTAAGACTGTGTATCAGATCAGCACAGCTTCTAAGAAGGGAAACTTGTGTCAAAATCTTTAAATAGGGCCGACACTGCAGCACAGCGGGTACAGCCCTGTGTGTGGCATCAGCAGCCCCATGGGCGCTGGTTCTGGTCTTGCTGCTCTTTGCCCATCCAGCTTCCTACTAAAGTCCCTGGGGCACAGAGGAAGACACCATGGCTCTGCCCCAGCCACTGCAGCCATGTGGGAGGCAAAAAAAAATCTTAAAAATATTTAAAGTGCAAATACGTTTTGGGCAACTCTACATCTAAACTCCTACATTTATGTTTAGGTCAAAACTGCACTACTTTTAGAAGCAAACCATTCTAAATAAATGTCTCTCAAGAGGGATGGATCACCTATGGTATGTATGGAACATGGGATACTACCTAACTAGCAAAAAGACCGTAACTCTACAAGCATCTTACAGTTTACCAGGTAATCTGTGAAGTAAACAAAGATACAAGGCATGCTGATATGCTGACACTAACGTTGCTGTTGTTTTTAAAGTGGGGAGACAGCCTGTACAGGCTGGTATACCCATCACAATGCCTAGGAAAGAAGCTGCTTGCAATGTGTGTTTGGAGAAGAGAAAGCAGAGCTGGGCTCAGCACTGGGGACTTACTTTCCCCCCAGTCCTATTTTATACCATGTACACAATAATTAAGTAAATAAATGAAACGAAACTTTCCTAACAAATATGCCAATTTTTCATGAAACTCTGTGTAAGATTTACAATTCTTTCAGCAATAGTTTTCAATCTTTCATCATAGCTTTTGTTTTGTGAGAAAAGTAGGCAAAAACTTTATCACTCAGATAACTGCCCAGTAATAATCAGGTGGTAGAGATGCCAGCATATGAAGAGTTAACAGTTTAGCAGAACGAACATGTACTTGAATCATCATAATATGAAGGATTCGTTCTCACTTAAAGCTTCAGCAGCAGCTGAGCATAACCCCACATGACAGAAAGTCCTCTGGGTCGCAGCGGAAGAAAGCGACAGCCCCGTAAGGAACGAGTGGGGCTATGTTACTTGACGCAAGCAGCAGGTGACAGAAAGCTCAGGGTGCAATGCTCAGGTGAGGACCCGACTGCGGAGGTGTCACAGCAAGCTGGAACCTCACGATGGCACTAGACTTACCCAACATGCTTTTGAAAAATAATAAAACAAGAAAAGAACAGGTATGACCTATTCAGTGAATATTTTATACAGAAATTACTGATAGATCCAAAACATTTCCACGCTCTGTGATTCATTTAAAACAAAAAGCTCTTACTGAAGCAATTACATAAGATGCAGACTATGGCAGCTGAGGATGGAGTCAGTCAGCGGCTTTTGTAATCATGTTACAAACTGAAGCAAGAGCATTTAACACATGTGTTGTGAGTTTCTTCATGTACTTTGCGCTTAAATATGATTCCTCCTTTAGAGCAGGGTACACATCAGATAATGGCATTAGCCATCCATACAGCAGCTTTTCATTCGAAGATCTCTAAGTACCAGCAACATGCACTAACGCCCAATATTCTAATCAGGGGTCATGTGGAAGGCCCACGCAGGACAACTGACCAATCAGCAACACGTGTGAAACAGAACCAACGCTTGGTGTTCGCAGACTCAGGAACCAGTGACACCCCTTCCACCACAGGTTTCTTCCCTCGGAGGGGTTATCTTTGATGCTAAATAACAAATGCTATTAAACAGACTTCAAGAAGTAGTAAGATGAGCTTAAAAAATGAATAAACAGAACCATGCTGATTTTTCTTCCTAGCAGCATCTGGTCTCATGTGTCTGAGAAAAAACATTTTAGAGTTGCCCATGCTTTCCCACATGCTGTCCTGCTCTCCCGAGTTTATTACGGCAAATGCCCTTTTTAGTCTCTCAACAATCTTTCTCGCAATGCAGCCATCTGAATTAACAAAACAAATGCATTACTGAATGTCAATGAAATAACCAAAGCCGTAATTAGGCACATAGTATAGCGTTTTATAAAATGCTTATTCTTACATGGCAACAGAACCCTCTACATTCTACAGGGATTTGAAAATAAGAAAACCGACACACTCGCAAAAAATAGATTCAAGCGTTAGCCATGCAAAATCCATAACACCATACAGAAGGCTTACGTATTTTACTCTTTTAAGGAGCTACTGACTGTTGATTTTACTCTCGCTTTATTTTGGAACAAGAATTACTTTCCAGCGGAATTTAGTTAAGGTTCTATAAACCCTTAAGTCACCAGGGGCTGGATTTGAACGAGTGACAGCGAAGGCTGTCTGTGAACGCCTACCTGCGCATTGGCTCGCCTTCCATGCACCATGAACGGCACCTTCACCACCCTCCACAGCCGAGCCCTAACAACAGAGAAGCATCCGTTACAGCGGTTCCTCTGCCCTCTAACAACGCCCTTACAGCCACCACCTGGCTCCTTTTGTCGGTAATCCCACTGCCCCCAGACCTCCGGCAGGTGCACCATGTGCAGCCCAAGCACAGAAGCCGGAAGCACCTATTGCTTCCAGCAGCCCGAGCAGGCAAAGGACGCGTCCACACCCCCTTCCCGGGACGTCCTTCGCCCCCCGAGGCGGCCCAGTCCACTCACACATGACAGCAAAGGACGCGTCCAGACCCCCTTCCCAGGACGTCCTTCTAGGCCTGGTCCACTCACTCAGGGCAGCAAAGGACGCGTCCACACCCCCCTCCGCAGGACGTCCTTCGCCCCCCGAAGATGGCCCAGTCCACTCACACGGGGCAGCAAAGGACGCGTCCAGACCCCCTTCCCAGGACGTCCTTCTAGGCCTGGTCCACTCACTCAGGACAGCAAAAGACGCGTCCACACCCCCTTCCCAGGACGTCCTTCGCCCCCCGAGGCGGCCCGCCGCAGCTGCGCAGGCTGTCTGCAGTGCAAGCCCCCGGGACAGGAGGTCCGCCAGCGCCCCGACGGCTCTCCTCGGGGTGCACACCCACCCCGGGGGCAGCGGTGCAGAGCGAGCTCCGGGCTCCCCACGTACCGGCTCCCACACACTCTCCTCCAAGGACCCCAGCAGCAGGATGCAGCGCCCGCAGCTATTTCCGCCCCGCTCCAGAAGGAGGAAGTGGTCCTGCTGCCAAATCGCTCCCGCCGGAAACTGCGGATTCCGCCGAGAGGTTCCGGAAGCAGCCGCTCCCTCTGCTAGAGAGGAGAGCAAGTTGACGGAGAGTGTTCATCGCGGATGAGAGCAATATTTGAATATTTCTTCATTGTTTTCCACATAAACGCGATAGAAAGATTGGAGCCATCCTGCTGCTACCTATCAGGTGAATTATTGATCCATGTGTATATATATCTTCCAGGTTCTAGTATGTTCCCCACCAAGCCAAGTCCCAATCCAGGTTTTGGCACAAGCCAGCCTCTGCTGTGGCCTAGCCCAGCCCAGCCCACATTCCCATAGATGCTGCGGGTTAGCTCAGCCTGTCCTGCCCCCACACCTGGTGCTTACAGTTGCCGACAGGTGCCTCCCTGTTGTCCAGCCTAGCTTGCCCCAGCGCTGGTTCTTATGCTCCCCAGTGATAGCCAGTCCAGCAGGGGAGTATCCACAGTTCCCCTGCCAGGCGTGTTCCTGGTCCTGGATCTTGTGCCTGCCAGGGGGTACTGCAGTGCAGCCAGACATGACGCGTACCCAGTCCTGGCACTTGCTGGTTGCTGCTGCAACCAAGCCCGGCTGGCCCGCACCCGTCCAGGCTCATGTGTACAACAGCGGGTGCTGCAGGCTGGCCTGGCTGCGCCCCCTCCAACTCCCTTCCAGCCCTGGCTCTGGTGCTTCCAGAGGGAAATGCGGACCATCAGGGGAGTCCACCAAGTTCCACTACTAACCTGCTCCCAGCCCTTTATCTCATGCATGCCAGCGGGAGTAGTAGCCCTGCTGGGTGAGGGCTACCCTCAGTCCCGGCCCTTGTATGTGCCGCTGGGTGCTGCAGCATGGCCCCACCAGGCATGCTCTCAAGCTCCAGCTTTAGGCAATGTGAGCAGGTGATGCTGGTTAGCCCGACGCAGGTTACCCATGTGAGTGGGTGCTTTGGCCAGGCCCAGATGCTAAGCCGCTCCATCTCAGCTCGCTCCCCCAGCAGTGCAACATCAGCCTAGGTACAAGGCAACCAAGGCAGCTGCCTACAGCAGGGATTCAATTAAGGATTCTTTTTTTTTTTTTTAGATTTTTTTTTTTTTTAACTTGGAAAGGCGGATATACAGAGAGGAGAGACAGAGAGGACGATCTTTCTTCCGTCCAATGATTCACTCCCCAAGTGAGCGCAACGGCCAATGCTATGCCGATCCGAAGCCAGGAGCCTCTTCCGGGTCTCCCACGCGGGTGCAGGGTCCCAAGGCTTTGGGCCGTCCTCAACTGCTTTCCCAGGCCACAGGCAGGGAGCTGGATGGGAAGCGGGGCCGCCGGGATTAGAACCGGCGCCCATATGGGATCCTGGGCGTGCAAGGTGAGGACCTTAACCACTTGTGCCACCGCGCCGGGGCCCAATTAAGGATTCTTAAAACCTTGTAAACCATTTGAATGTTTGTGGAAAGTAATATAAGGAAGAAAACACTTTTATAGATGTTATTAGATGGAATAGTAAAACACATTCTTTATTTAAATATGGAAAACTGCAATAACAAAATTATCATTGCTTTATGCCAGATTTGTTTTCATTGGAAAGACAGATTTACAGAGAGGAGAGACGGAAAGAAAGATCTCCCACCCATTCCCCAAGTGGCCTCAATGGCTGAAGCTGAGCCAATGTGAAGCCAGGAGCCAGGAGCCTCTTCCAGGTCTCCCACGCAGGTGCAGGGTCCCAAAGCTTTGGGCCGTCCTCAACTGCTTTCCCGGGCCACAGGCAGGGAGCTGGATGGGAAGCGGGGCTGCTGGGATAGAACTGGCGCCCATATGGGATTCCTGGCGTGCAAGGCGAGGACCTTAACCACTACACCATCGCGCTGGGCCCCTGTTGCAGTTTCTTTACTCACAACCCTCACCTTCTTCCCAGCCATACCCACAGTCCCTCTTCACTTAGATGTTTACTGAGGTAAGTTCTTACATTGTTATGCTTTTGTGCCTGTTGGTATGTTTAAATGCCATTTCCCATTAGTTCACTTGATGATTTGTAGGATTTTAAAAGTTTTGAATCTTTGCTATGTCATTATTTATCATTATTTATTCTCATAAGCTTTTAACATTTAATGGATATGCCTTAAAAGATTATACTGAGAGGGTGTTTAGTCTAACAATTAAGGAGTTGGTTAAGATGGCTATATCTTGGGCCCAATGCGGTAGACTGGTGGCTAATGTCCTCGCTTTGTAAGCTTGGGATCCCATGTGGGCATGAGTTCATGTCATGGATGCTCCACTTCCCATCCAGCTCCCTGCTTGTGGCCTGAGAAAGCAGTTGAGGACGGCCCGAAGCCTTGGGACCTTGCAGGTGTAGAAGACCTGCCTGGTTCCTAGTTTTGGATCAGCTCAGCTCCGGCCATTGTGGCAGATGGAAGATCTTCCTCTCTGTCTCTCCTCCTCTCTGTAAATCTGACTTTCCATTAAAAATAAAATGAATATTTTAAAGAGATGGCTGTGTCCCACCTTGAAATGCCCAGACTTAACTCTCAACTCTGTTTTTTTTTATGTTTATTTAAAAGGTGTGGAAATCACAGACACATATTCAGGGATAGAGCTGGCAGGGAGGAGGAAAGTGGGCGGATGTTTCTACTTTAACAGCCTGTCCGCTGGGAGAAAAAGAGTGCCCCTCCCCATTGTCTGGCTTCTCTTAAGCCCACAAAGGGCAGTGGTTGCATGGTGTCACCCCCGATTCCTGCGACAGGGTATTGCATCCTGGGGAAGGGATCCTGATTGACAGGCAGGCAGGCGGCATTGCATAGGGTGGGCTAGAAATGCCTCTCAACTTGTGACTCTAACCCTGCCTCCTGCCTGCCCCATTTCATTGTCCCCTGAGATTTCCAACCCTTCTTCTTCTTTTTCAAAGATTTATTTTTATTTTCATTTGAAAGGAAGATTCACAGAGAGAGAAGAAGATATAGAGAGAGGAGAGAGAGGGAGAGATCTTCCACCCACTGGTTTACTCCCCAAATCGCTGCAACAGCCAAAGCTTCCTCTGGGTCTCCCACAAGGGTGCATGGCCTTGAGCAGCCTCAGCTGCTTTCCCAGGCGGCAGATAGGGAGTTCAACCCAGACTCAAACTGGAGCCCATGTGGAATGCTGGCATTGCGGTGGAGGATTGAGCCACAGTGCCGGTCCCCCAACTGTTACTGGTAAGAGTTGGTGACAGTGTAGAGTCATCTAATCTTTTGTAGCTACTGTTCATTAGGGACATAGGCCTTGTGTGTTTCAGGCTCTGAAACCTTTCCTTATCCCATCTGACGAATCCATGGAAGAGCCACAGAGACATGTCAGTGTGCCCTGCGTTGTCATCACCACTCCAAGAAGTCCCTGGCCCTTTTCTGTCCTTTGAAGTGGCATCTGAGGTCTTTGGTTCACAGGGGCAGGCTGACTCATCAGTCGTGTGCACCTGTGTAGGAGTCAGTTTAGGAGGAAGTGAAGCAGCAAAACACACACAGTGAGATCCAATACCAGGATACGTGCCCCACCCCCGCCCCACCATGGGCTCGGTTCCCTGCGATTGCAGAGCCTGTCAGGTATGAGACCAACTGGACGTGCAAACCTGGGTTTCTTGACCATCGTAAAGGCCATTTCAGTGAGGATCGCTCCCAGACCCCTGGCCTAGTGTGGTGGTGTGCCCCTGGTGCAATTGTCAAGGCTACCAGTCCCTGGCCTGTTGCTTCTGAATTGGCACCATGATGTACTGTAGTTTGGCCTGCCTAGGACCCCAGCTCAGGCCCCTCGCCTGCCACTCCCACACCAGTGCTGTGGCACACCATGGGTGGCACCTGCCAAAGCGCATGCATCAGGCTCATGTCCTGTAAAGAACATCACTGGTCCCCTACTTTCCCTGGATCCTGGCCTCAGGCTCCAGGCCTGGCGCCACAGCATACCTCGAGTGCTGCCTGCCAGGCTCTATGAGGCCCCTGTCCTTCTCACTTCCAGGCTAGCACTTTGGCCCTTGAGTGCAGCCTGCTAAGCACCTGTGAGGCCCCTGGGGTGCCTGCAGTCACAGCAGCACCGTGGCATGCCCTGGGCACGTGCTGCACAGGACTCCATCATCCAGCTCTTGGCTTGTTGCTCCCTGGCACACCACGGGTGCAGCCTGCCTAGGATCCATGACACTGTTGGGCTGTCCACTCCCAGACTAACGAGTCCTCAGCGTCAGGTACAAGTGTGGCCTGCCCAGGACCCTGGCTTCCAGCCCTCAGCCTCCTGCTCCTAGACAAGTGCAGTGTCACGTCCTGAGTGTGGCGTGCCTAGGGCTCTAGAGTTAGGTCCCTGACCCGCCAGTCCTGTTGCTGTTTCTTGGTTACTGCTACTGCAAATTCTGGGAGGCAGTGGTGCTGATCGGGTAACTAGCTCTTGCCATGGAGGCGGTGGTGGTGCTGATTGGGTAACTGGCTCTTGCCATGGAGGCGGTGGTGCTATTGGGTAACTGGCTCTTGCCATGGAGGCGGTGGTGCTGATTGGGTAACTGGCTCTTGCCATGGAGGCGGTGGTGGTGCTGATTGGGTAACAGGCTCTTGCCGTGGAGGTGGTGGTGCTGATTGGGTAACTGGCTCTTGCCATGGAGGCGGTGGTGCTGATTGGGTAACTGGCTCTTGCCATGGAGGCGGTGGTGCTGATTGGGTAACTGGCTCTTGCCATGGAGGCGGTGGTGGTGCTGATTGGGTAACTGGCTCTTGCCGTGGAGGTGGTGGTGCTGATTGGGTAACTGGCTCTTGCCATGGAGGCGGTGGTGCTGATTGGGTAACTGGCTCTTGCCATGGAGGCGGTGGTGCTGATTGGGTAACTGGCTCTTGCCATGGAGGCGGTGGTGCTGATTGGGTAACTGGCTCTTGCCATGGAGGCGGTGGTGGTGCTGATTGGGTAACTGGCTCTTGCCGTGGAG